ATAGAGAAAAGCTATGTTTAATGGCTAGAGAGCTGGAGAGTCTCAGAAAGTAGTTTTTATAATTTGAGAAGGTATAGAAAGAATTCCTTGGCCTTCTTGACCTGCTTTATTCTTAGACCTTGTTCCTCTTGTAGCATCACCTACTCTTGTTCTTGCCTCCAGCCACACAGATACTAGTTCACTTCATAGACCATTTCAAATTCTCTGTAAGGATTTGAATGGCTATCTATGGTCATAATCATAGTAGTATATAGTGTTAGTCCCTGTTACCTTCTTCACCCCCTCCCCACACCATCTGATTGCTATTAAAAGACTGGAGATTTTTCTGTGATAATTAAGATACCAGGTGGAGAGGTGTCTTTTTTTTTTAATTCATTTGGGTTTTGTGATTCTTTCTTGTTGTTTCTTCTGATGAAATAGCATTACAATTAGTTTTATCATCTCTGTGACTGATTACCTGACAAACAACTTTAGGGTTCATTTGACCCATTATTTCAGTATTAGCAGAGCAGAGCAGTTTTTGACACAGCATCCAGGAAGCAGAGTGGACGAATAACATGAAGGGGCCAGGGCAAGATACTGCCTACAGGATACAAGGCGAGTGTTAGACGTCCCCTAACCAAGTCCCACCTTACCCTATTCTACCACCTCCCAATAGTCTTTTGAGATTTGAAATTTGTTAATGGGTTCAATCACCGAGGCCTCTATATAGATGTCCTCAAAGAGCTCCCCAGAGCTGTGCTTTTTTTTAATCTCATGAATGTCAATCAGTCAAGTTGATTGATTAAGCAAAATTAACCATTGCAAATAGCACGAATAATTGTAGTTCATGGTTAAAAATCTTTCAAAGGGGATCTCAAGATCTTGATGCTTAGATTTACTAGTGAAAACATTTAAGGAAACAACACCTATTTTAAAACACACTGAAGACCAATATCTTTCATGAACATAAAAACAGTCTTAGCCAAATATATGCTCATAGCATTTCATTTTTACTATCTAGAGATCTGTAATGATGCTCCTGCTTTTTGTTCTTGGGATTAATAGGTGGAGGGGTTTTTTCTTTATTTTTTTTAGTGTGTGTATTTGCATGTGAGCATGTGCATGTATGTGTGTATTTTTAAAATCATTTTTGTCAGGTGTTTTAACTGCTGTGTGTAAAAGAATTGGTTTTTGGTTTCAATACTTTCCTCCCATATTTTCTGCTTTCCATTTCATTGTTCTCAGCTCTTAGTTATTACTATTTGATTATTCCCTTCTTCCCTTCTAGCTTTAACTATATTTTGCTCCTTTCTAGTTTCCTTAAGTAGAAGCTTGGATCATTGCTTATGGGGGTCTTCCTTTGTTTCACATAGAAAGAATTAATGCTATAAATTTCCCTCTATGCACAAGTTTAGCTGTATCACATTTTGATGTGCTATATTTTTATTTTGTTCAATTCAAAATTGTTTTTTTACCCATATGTTAGAAGTATGTTTAATTTCCAAGTAATTGGACATTGTCCTTTTGCCTTTCTGTTGTTTTTGTTTAAGTTCATCATGAGCAGAAGCCATACTTTGTATTAGTTTAATTATCTTGAATTTATAAGGCTTTTTCAAAGCATAGTCTATCTTGTTAAGGGTTTTGTTTTCCTTTTAAAGAATGCATATTCTGTTTTTGTTGGTTTGAGTGTTTTATAAGTAATAGGTTCAGTTTATTGGTAGTTTCCTATTTCTGTATAACTGAGGGTAGAATATTGATTTGTTCAAATAGAGTTGTGCAATAGAAAACTCAATTGTTAGCCTCATCTAGTTTTCAACTTGATTTTCTTTGGGATTATTATAGATTAATTTAATTCCATTTTTGTGATTATCCTATATAAGGTAATAATAATCTATTTTGAAATCGTGGGTTTATATAGCTTTGAAACATTTTCAGTCAATATTGTCAGTTTTTTTTTCTCAACTGAACTGCACAGTATCCTTTCTCTACACCTCTCTCCTGTGTAAAGTGGCAGACCTTCTGACATTTGAGCCTTTATTTTGCTTTGTTTTAGATAGTTTATCTCTTTACTGTTCAGATGAGCTAACGTTTAGATCTGTCTCCAGGTTTTGTTTATTTGGTTGTTAGGTTCTCAAATTTTCAACAGTTCTTCCTTATATCTTTTTACTTTTCTGATTGGCATGTGTTATCTTTTTGTGTTGAATAATACTAATTTCATCTGGGATATTTTGAGTATTATGTTATGAGACTAGATCTTACGGAGGATCGTGTTTTCATCTTAGCCCACAGTTGACAGTTGACAGGGTTATTAGTCCCCAGGAGCAATGGCTATTTTACCTTCAGTAAGCTGTGGCCAGTACCATTTGTGTGTCTGCTGTAGATGGCCAACCTGGAGTCTCAGCAATTCACTGCCAATTCTTTGGTAGGTTATTTCTGATGAGAACTACATGTCCAAGCCTGAGAGCTAGGCCTTTGGGTTTATAAACAATTAGGAGGGAGGTTAGTTTCCTAAGCTCCTCCTTCTTGATGATTTTTTGAGATCCCTCTAGCTCTACCATCTTTTTTAATTTTAATTTTTATTTATTTATATTTTTGGCATTTGACCAGAAACTTTGGACTTTAGTTGCTGTCTTCTGGCATGAACTGCACAACAGTGTCTACGTTTCTGTAGCCAAATGACTGGACAACAAACCATAATGGGATTCAGCCCCACTTTCTTGGAACCATGGCTCTGCTGAACCCAGAGGAAGGTTTTGTTTTAGCCTTGCAGACTTCTCTTGGTGCTGGCTGTCATCTACACCACTGGAATACTTGGGGATAGAAGCCTGAGACAGCAGGGGGAAGGAGAGCAATGGATGCTACAAATATTGTTGTAATAGGAGCGACGGGCTACGTTCCTGGCACCCGGCCACCCACACCGCTAGCTTTATACCTGAAATAATTACACGGAAACTGTATTCTTTGAAACACTGTCTGGCCCATTAGTTCCAGCCTCTTATAGGCTTGCTCTTACATATTGATCTAACCCATTTCTAATATTCTATGTAGCGCCATGAGCTGGCTTACCAGGAAAGATCTTAACGTGCGTCTGTCTGGAGCAGGAGAATCTTGGTGACTCTCTGATTCAGCTTCTTTCTCCCAGCATTCTTTTCTGTCTATTCTGCCTACCTAATTTTTTGTCCTATCAGAGGCCAAGCAGTTTCTTTGTTATTTAACCAATGAAACAACAGATAGAAAGATGACCCTCCTCCATCATTTCCCTTTTTCTGTTTAAACAAAAAAGAAAGGCTTTAACTTTAACATAGTAAAATTACATATAGCAAAACAGTTATCAAGCAAGAATTTCAGTTACAATATTTATATCTATTTTATCTTTTATCATAACTAAAAAAACTATATCTAACCATTCTTTAACTCCATCAAAGACTCCAGAAGGATATAATATTATCTAAGCAAACAAGAAGTCCAAAACTCTAGAAATGACAGAGACATCTCGCTGCCTGGACAGTCACCCAAAGTTCCTCTGTACTGTTGGGGCATCCGTCTTCAGCCTTCAAGCCCATAGTTTCCAGCAGACATTTTCATCAAGCAGGAAATTTCAAAGGCAGTTCAGTCACTATCTTCTGTGTCCTGCAGAATGTCTTGCAGACTCTTTCATGAATCAGGAACCCCGAAAGACCATCTCACCTTTAGGCAAGTTCAGTGCCACTCTGTTGTAATAGGAGCGGCAGGCTACGTTCCTGGCACCCAGCCGCCCACACGGCTAGCTTTATTCCCGAAATAATTACATGGAAACTATATTCTTTTAAACACTGCCTGGCCCATTAGTTCCAGCTTCTTATAGGCTAGCTCTTACATATTGATCTAACCCATTTCTAATATTCTATGTAGCGCCATGAGCTGGCTTACCAGGAAAGATCTTAACCTGCGTCTTTCTGGAGTGGGAGAATCATGGCGACTCTGATTCAGCTTCTTTCTCCCAGCATTCTGTTCTGTCTACTCTGCCTACCTAATTTTTTGTCCTATCAGAGGCCAAGCAGTTTCTTTATTATTTAACCAATAAAACAACAGATAAAAAGATGACCCTCCTCCATCAAAATATCAGCAATTCTCTTTCATGGCTAGAGCCAGAGAACTTTGGGCAGCTCATCTTTTTTCCCTTTGCCAGCAGCCAGTGTCTAGCAACAGTGTGTTAAGCCTGGACTTGGGCACACATATCTTTGTTGGTATTTCAAGTTCTGGTTGTCTTTCCTAGGGCTGCCTGCTACTATTGACTTTGCAGAGTCCTCATGTAACTGCTCCAGGTTTTGTAATTGTAAATCCTGGTTAAGACAGGGGACAGAGCGTGGTGACTCCATTTGTGTCTGATTGGGAAATTGACAATTATGTGAGACTAAACTATGGAGGGCATGAACTACTCCTTGACTCTAACTCTCCCAAGCTTTACATCTTTGCTTGAAAAGCATTTCTACAATCTACATTAAAAAAAATGGATAAAGGTGTGGGTACTGCTATCCCCAAACATCCTAGTCCATCAGCCCATGAAACAAAACCTTAAAAACCTCACTGGAATGGAGAAGTTTGTTATTTTTTTAAATGTCTCTTACCTGTTCATTTAAGCAAAGAGACCAGGAGTGTAGCTTAGTGGTAGAATTCTTGCAAAAGAGCAAACATGCCAAAAAGCCCTTTATTTCATCCAGAGCAAACACACACACACACACACACACACACACACACACACACACTCACTCACTCACTCAGACACATGGTGGGAGAGACGTTTTCAAAGTGAAAAATTATACGGAGATTTTTTTTCTCTCTTCCTCCTTCTGTTCTAATGCCTCACTGAAGATTGAACTACCTTTTTTTTTTTTTTTAGACTCGATCCTCCTTGCTCTAGCCTAGGCAGCCTTTGAACTTAGAATCTTTGTGCCCAACCTTTCAAGTAGCTGGGACTGTAGGCATGCACCAATCAAGCCCAGGCAAAGTTAAGAATTTCTGAAATCTTTTCATTCCAGCCTGGAAGAAGGACCATGGAGATGATGCTCTGTGAATTCAATCCAGCAGATTCACTCTCTGGCAATGAACAGGTACCTCTTTCACTAGAAGAGCTTGGTTGTACATAAATTATATGTTTGGGATTTGGAGTTTTAAATATGCTTATAATTTCTTTAGATGTGATTGTCGTGACCATAACTAAAATAGTTTAGTGGGTATCTGGGAATAAGCTTCTCTCAAAGTTTCAAGTAAGATGGAAATCCCACCCTTAGCAGTGAATGGGGAAATGGTTTTAGGTGTTCCCAGGGTGGTGAGGGATAGTCAAAGACCTGTTGTTCCTGGGTTGGGGGCAGGAAGCCCTGTTGTGGAAGTGAGAATGGAATCTTTTAGGGAGTGAGGATTTGCATTTCCAGGAGCAGGGCGGGCTGTACAGTGGGATAGTCTGGCTCCAACTTGAGCCCACTCACAGGATGTTAGGGGAAGTGTGTCTAAGGTCATGGCCATGCCACGTGGCAGACCAGCTGGATTCAAAGCAGGAGCCTCCGGCCACATATCCTGAGTTTCCATGGTCTAATGTAGAAGGATTGAAAGAGGGTGGATGCAGGATGCTGGCATGGGCTGTACAGTGCATAGGCAGTAATTAAGTGGCAGTGGGTGGAGATCACAGCATTTCATCTCCTTTCCTTTGACACCTTTTAAAGATACAACCTACAGTATCCAGAGTCTTATGCCAGTGTCTGCTTACAGGGCTCTTACAGACATCTTTGATCTTTTGTGTTCTTAGGAGCAAAAGGGAAATTTTTATTTCGGAACCATTTACAACAAGTGTGGAGATGTAAGTTTAGATTGAGAATTTGTCCTCTTCGCTATTTATCAGTTTTATTGGGGATGATTTAAAAACCCTTGTGTAATTTTCAGATGTGGATGGCTGTACAGGATACAGTAGATTTTTTTTTAACTTTTCCTTAGAGAAGGGCTGTTCAGAATGTTTAGTGGGTTGAGTTTCAGAATTTCAGCAGCTTTATGGTGTCATGCAGTTTGACAGACTGAACTTGCACTTAGAGGAATGGAATGTATTTTTAATCATGGGAATTTATTGTGCCTAAGGAACATAGGAGAGAATGTCAGATTTCAACTGTAATTAATATTTCACTGGTGACTTCAACTCTACAGCAGCTAAACTTTACATTTAGGAAGCACAAAAAATGGCTCAAGTCAAAGCCGAGTGTAAAATGTGAAGGGTCTTAGAAAAATCAGCTTAGAGTTCTTACACTTCCTTTATGCATTTAGTATCTCAGAGAGATCTCTGGCCTACATAAATTCTTAATTTTGAGAGAAAAATATATTATGAAAAACTATAAATGTTCAGTCTTTTATGGCTCCCCAATAAATTATACAGTATGCTGGGAGGAATGAGGGAGAGGAGTGAGAATCACCATAGAAACTAGGGTAGGCGTTTCTAAGTACTGGGGGGGGGTATATGAGCTGCTATTATTAGGCATCCTTATTGAAGGTGCTGTATTTTTATGACTGCCTGGTAGTGTTCATTGAAGTGATAAAGACACTTGAAGCATTTATTTACTTCAGGTTCTTTCTAAAACTTAAGAATTCCATTCCTCCTATTGAGAAAAATGCTAGAAGGTAGCAGTATGGTTTTTAGTTGTAATATTTTGGACGTAATGCCATATTTGGAATTTATGAGTGTGCCTTGGAAATCAGGTGCCTGGAACACAAATCTCAAGGAATAGAAACTGAAGTTTACTATCATTAAGGATTTAGGCATGAGCTGCCTTTAAAAAATTTTTTTTGTCTATGATGAACTTTTTCTCAAGCTGTTTTCCAGTCATCTGTTGGGTTTCTTCCACTTTGCCTAGAGCTCTTTGTCATGAGGTGATAATTAGCTGGTGACCAAGTCTGCATTCAGTATAATTTGCATGAGGTATGTAAAGGCCATTATTAAATTGCCTCCAAACCTTGGATAACACAAAGCTCTAAAGAGATTGTTAGTGAGCATAAAAGCCAGTGGGATGGCAAAGACAGAACTATATCATACTATAAGGACACTGCTTTGTGAACATCACATGCCTTTACTATAGGCCAGTTGTTAAAAAGATTTCCTTTAAAATGATTTATTTATCCATTTTTATGTGTGTATGCTCTTGTGAGTTTATGGCACCGTGTGTGTGTGTGTACAATAGACACCAGTCATCTTGGCAGTCATTGCTACTCATTAGAGTGCTGCTCATCCTAGAACACACTCTTGAATATTATGAAGGCTGAGTGCTGTGGGAGTTTGAGACTAGGCAGGCAGTAGGGAACACAGCTGCTGACAGACACTCTTCTAGCTCCTGGCAGAAGGTTTGTCTTGGTCGATGTTACTGTGTTGGGCTCTTCCCCACCAATCATTTAAAGAAAGGATGAAAAAGCTGACGGCGTTCTTTCTGTTCCTTTGATGTCCACATGCTTCCTTAGATGATTTATAGTCTTTAGATTTGTCTGTTTGCTGTGGTGTTGGGGATAGAGCCTAGGGCTTCTGTCAATACTGTACCACTGTGCATAATGCACTCAAGTTATATGCCCTGTCTGATCGTTTCTCACTTTTGTGCCAGGTCTCTGATCACATCTTGCTTTCTGAAGGATTGGGTCTTCATCATGTGTATTTCTCCTGTCTCAGATCCTAGCCATGAGATTGCACATTTTAAGGTTGAAAGGAATTTTTTTTTTTGTCAAGAGCAAACCAATATTGATGTGGTCTTAAGAGTGCCTAGTGTATAGGTGATACATACAGATCTACAGTTTCATATGCTGAGACATCCTTTCCTTTTGTTTGGATACATCTGTTCCTTGTCCAATATTTGCATTTTGAAAATGGAAACCAACTCATGCCATCTTATTTTACTGAGTTCCTAACACCTATTTCCTTCCATTTGGGGTTAAAATTATAGAACATGTGGGGACAAGCCTTGCTGAAGTATCACTGGGAGTTCTTAGTTATCTGAGATTAGGAAGGCAGCGAGGGCTGGTGTATGGATGAGATTTTGGGTAGAGACTACACTCAGACGTCACAGCTTATAGGGCTAAGGATGTAGTTCAGTGGTCAGACACTTGCCTAGAGTACACTATCCTCAGCAACACTATAGACACTTGCCTCAAAACCCACACAAGCAAAACAAAGAACCAAATGGAAGAAAAAGAAAGAAAAGATACTATACCTACACAGTAACACAACTTCATTGAATAGCTGTGTGTAATTTCAAGAGGCTCCAAAATCCCACGACAAGGTGCAGAGATGGCAAAATTGAGAGTTGATAGCCTTGCTTGATTCACTTTCTAAACCCACTCCTTGTTCTTGCTAAGCTTGCTTCAGTCTGTCTCTTCTCATAGTGGAGAATCCTCATAGGGCCATTTTCTTTCCTGCAGGTTAGCATGTCTTCTGTGATCCAGTAGACAGTGTTTTATGCCATTGCCCCTCTGGAGTTCCAGAAGATAACCTCAGAGGTGATGGGGACGAAAAGGGCTTGAGGCAAGCATATAATCTATTTCCAGTTTCTGCCTTCTCCTAAAATGTGATTCTGATTCTAATCTTCATGATAGCTATGTTGGCAGCACCTTAGCTTTTCTTGTCCTCAAATTTTATAGTACAGTTGGTATTCTAAGGATATGTAACATTCCTCTGCTCTGTTTTTATGATTTTCCTGAAAAGTTTTTATTCTAATTCTGGAAAATTCCAAGGTTACACATCCTATAATGTAGTAGGGTTGAGTAGAGCTGGCATTTGGCCTGAGCATTCTGTGTTCTGAACCCCATTTGACTGTCCTTATCTGGGGTTAACTAATTCAGGTACCCCATCTTTGTATGTGTGTCCTTGATATTAACCTAATAATTTGGAGGCTGCTTTTCATAGCCAATACCTGGAATATAGCATTCTATATTAACAAAAATGTTAATTTCATGTGCAGTACATTCTTTCTGGACCTCAAGATGCTTGGTTTGGAAGGATTTGATGTCCTCAGCTACCAAAACCTCTGCTCAGACTTTGTTGTATAGGTACAGATGGATCCTACCTGGTGCTTGCCAACTCTCTGGGAGGTACCCCGGAGTGCTATTCCTGCTTATTGGAGTCCTCAAGGTCATTCGTGGAGACATGTTCAATCTCTAGTTCATGATACAGATTTGAATAAGTCATATACCTAGGTGTCTTCAAGTAATGTATGCTGCTTTGGTTGTTGTGTCTCTGAAGTAGTATTCAGTTTCAGTTATCAATGTGGTTTTGCTCAGAATTTGTCTCTTTTAGTAAAGCTAAGCACCATTCATTGACTGCTCACAGCTCTGCTGACCACTTGCAGTTTAAGGTTTGCTAGATACTTCAGTCTATAGCCACAACCTATTAGATTATTCTGGGTTATATTACCAACAAAGCTTTTTGTTGCATTGCCTTATAAAACGTGCATTGAGGTTGTCGACTCCCTTTGGCCAGTGTGGCAGCCGTAACAATAAGCAGCCATACAGGAGATGAAATTACCTAAGTCTGAAGAGAGGGTCTTAAACAGACTTGTGATATAGAAGGTAGATGAGCTTGGAAGGAAACCAAACATGTACCAATATACCTCCATGGGTGCTCTGACTTAACTTCTCATTTTGCCTTATCAGAGACGTAAAGAGTAGGCTCCTGCAATTGACCTGTCTGTGTTCACTCATCTGTTCTACCACCCACTTCTTCCTGAAGCCTCTGTTCCAAAGTTATCCCTTAGGGCAACCTGGAATGCCTCTCTGTCGTGTGCTCTGTAGGCCTCCCTCCTGCACATCTGCTGTCCTTGAGCAGAGTCCTGCTTTCCAGGATGTCTTTGCAACTACATTTTTTCTTGTCTCTCTTATTCCGTACTTAATGACTGATTATAAACACTTAAAATCTGTGGTGCCTCTGAAACTTGTGATTCCCACAACTTGTCAAATGCTCGGCAGCCCCTGTACCACACTTGCTCCCACTCCAAATGTTTAGTTTAGGGAACAGAAAGTACCTAAACAGAGTGCTCAATGAATGGCTCTTCTGTTTAGGGTACTTTTACCCCTTGAGTTAATATTTAGAACATCT